GAGCATCGATTGACACTGATAGCTCGACTTTGTTTACCTTTGTTACATTCGACGTAATGAAAATTTGCTCTTTGAATTAATTTATCTTTATTAGGAAGGCTTTCAGCCTGGGGCTGGTTCGCCTCCAATAAAAAGAGCCAACACTTCTTTAGAGAAGTGTAACCTCCTGGCTGAGCATTTCAAGAGTGTTTTCAACGATTCAACGGCATCGTTAAGCCAAGTTGCTGAAGGGAGCAGAGATACTCCCAGTGACGCGTTCAGCTTTGATATTTTCACGGTCACATTGGACCTCGTCGACTCTGCCATCCAGAAACTGAAATTCTCGAACGCTGTTGGGCCTGACGGCATTCCATCGTCCACTCAAAAGATGCTCAACAGAGCTTTCCTCTCCGCTTTCAAAGCTGTTCAATATTTCGTTACAACAAGGTGTATTTCCCTCTCGTTGGAAATCTTCGTTCATGTTCCCGATTTTCAAGAAAGGAGACAAACAAAATGTGGAGAATTACCGAGGAATTACTTCACTTTGTGCCTGCTCGAAAGTATTCGAGATAATCATCAACGACGCTTTATTTGCCAGCTGTAGAAACTACATTTCTCCTGACCAACATGGTTTCCACCCCAAACGTTCGGTCTCAACAAACCTCGCTCCTTTCATTTCCCTATGCCTACGGAATATGGAGGCAGGGGCACAGGTGGACGTCGTATACACGGATCTCAAGGCTGCTTTCGACCGGGTTGATCATGCCATTCTAATTGCAAAACTCGAGAAGCTTGGTGTTTCTCATGGACTCACTAGTTGGTTTGAGTCGTATCTTACCAATCGAGAGCTTTGTGTGAAAATCGGGTCTGATCAATCGGAATATTTTTCAAACAACTCAGGCGTTCCTCAAGGCAGCAATTTAGGACCGCTGCTACTCTCCATATTCATTTTGATACTTCCTACTGGCTGCCGGTCATTCTATGCAGACGACGTCAAGATGTACGTGGTTGTGCGATGCTTCACTGACTGCCTGCGGTTGCAGCACCTGATCGATAGTTTCGAATAGTGGTGCTCTGGGAATTTTCTCACGTTGAGTGTTCAAAAATGCAATATCATCACTTTCCATCGCAAGCTAAAACCTATTGCATTCAATTATACGATCGATAACCAACCTCTGCAGCGTGTGGACAACGTTCGTGATCTAGGAATTACACTTGATTCTGCTTTGACATTTAAGCTACATTGCACGGATATCATAGCCAAAGCTAACAGGCAACTCGGATTCATCTTTAAGATCTCTGATGAGTTTCGGGATCCTACCTGCCTGACAGCTCTATATTGTTCTCTAGTGCGATCGATCTTGGAATTTGGTGTAGTAGTATGGTGTCCGTATGAAACAGTTAGGATAGCGAGGATCGAGTCTGTTCAGAGGAAATTCGTTCGTTACGCTCTTCGCCACCTTCCTTGGTACGATCCTACGAACCTTCCACCCTACGAAGGTCGTTGCCAACTACTGGGTACGACTCTCACGGGATTTTGGCTGAATTCGAAATCTATGCACCTGAACGAGTTCTACGATTGAGAAGTTTCCTGCATCTCGGACCCCGTGCAGCTAATTACGGATTACATGATCCAATACGGTTCATGTCTGCCCGTTTCAATGAATTCTTTATTTTTTTTTTCGATTTCAACTGCACAATGGAAACATTTCGTAAACGGATTCAACGTAGTCTGCTGGATAGGTGACGATACGGTTCGACACATGCAACTGCTTTCAATCAGCAAATTGTTGCAAAACGGTGAGTAGCTGTCCATTAATTGTACATCTGATAATTTTTGCTACCTGTTTCCTTTTTTGTTCCCGATCAACTCTGCGATGACGGCCTCGACTGATCCAAGGACAACTCCATGCCATAGGACGAGGTTATTTTTATTTTTTTTTTATGATGAAGACCATAGTATTATTATTATCCGGTGTTTATTTTTATAATTGATGTGTGATCTTCATTTAGACAACAAAAGTCCGATGAAGAGAATTATTAATAAATAAATAAATAAATAAATAATCCAATGTTATGCGCCAACCGATGCTGCCTGGCCCTCACTCTGCAGAACCATCTCGGGTTCCATTTGATCTTACAAGGAACATCGACTGGCAGAAATATGCAACGGCGGTGACAATCGGTGTCGAATCAATAGATGCGCTTCCACCATTGGAAGAATATCGATTCCTAGCCGATTTGATTTACAAAAGCTCACTGGAAGCACAAAAAAGAAAAGTTACAAGTGCACCCTTTAAAAGGAGACCAGCCACACCTGGTTGGGACGAAGAATGCACAAAATTGTATGTAGAAAAATCTGATGCTTTCAAAGCTTTTCGTAGACACAAAACCTCCACTTACTTCGAGGAATATTCAAAGCTTGAGACAAAGCTGAAACAATTAATCAAAGCAAAAAAACGCGGTTATTGGCGCAATTTCGTCGAGGAACTCTCACGAGAAACCTCAATGAACACCTTGTGGAGGGTGGCTCGCAACATGCGTAACCGCTCATCTTTCAATGAGAGTGAAGAATGCTCCAACCGATGGATATTCGATTTCGCTAAAAAGGTCTGTCCGGACTCAGTTCCAGCACAAAATATTCTTCGACAAGCGTCTCCTAGCGGCGGCTCTCTGGATAGACCATTCTCAATGCTGGATTTCTCTATGGCTCTTCTTTCATCGAACAACTCCTCACCGGGAAGCGATATGATTAAATTCAATCTTCTGAAAAATCTCCCAGATATCGCTAAAAGACGCTTGCTAGATTTATTCAATTCCTTGCTAGAAAACAACATTGTACCGCCTGAATGGAGACAGGTCAAAGTAATAGCCATTAAAAAACCTGGCAAATCAGCGTCTGACCATAACTCATACCGTCCGATTGCTATGCTTTCGTGCATTAGGAAATTGTTGGAGAAAATGATCCTTCGGAGACTCGATCACTGGGTCGAATCAAATAAATTGCTATTAAATACACAGTTTTTGTTCCGCAAGAGCAAAGGAACAAACGATTGTCTAGCGCTGCTTTCCACAGATATTCAACTGGCCTTTGCGCACAAGGAGCAATTGGCTTCAGTATTCTTGGACATTAAGGGGGCTTTTGATTCAGTTTCCTTTGAAATTCTGTCAGACAATCTGCACAGATGTGGACTTTCTGGAATTTTAAATAATTTCTTGTACAATTTGTTGTCAGAAAAGCAAATAAACTTTTCTCTTGGAAAACTGACAACTTCCAGAATTAGTTACATGGGCCTGCCCCAAGGCTAATGTCTCAGCCCTCTTCTTTAAAACTTTTATGTCAAAGATATCGACAACTGTTTGGCAGAACAATGCACGCTTAGACAACTTGCAGATGACGGTGTGGTTTCCGTAAGAGGTCCACATGCCGTGGAGTTGCAAGGACCATTGCAAAATTCCTTAGATAACTTGTCTTCTTGGGCTATGAATCTAGGGATCGAATTCTCGCCGCAGAATTCCGCAGGTACCCAGCCCAAATGCAGCTTAATCTTTTGGGCAGAAACATAACCCAATCATTGTCTTTTAAGTACCTTGGGGTCTGGTTTGATTCAAAGTGCACTTGGAATGCCCATATTACGTATTTGAAGCAAAAATGTCAGCAGAGGATCAACTTTCTCCGTTCAATTTGCGGCACATGGTGGGGTGCTCATCCGGGAGACCTCATAACGCTTTATAAAACAACTATTCTCTCTGTTCTAGAGTACGGCTCTTTCTGCTTTCTCTCGGCAAGAAAAAGTCACCTAATAAAATTGGAACGAATTCAATATCGTTGTCTGCGTATTGCTCTAGGCTGTATGCACTCAACGCATAACATGAGTCTCGAGGTTTTGGCAGGAGTAACACCCCTCCAGAACCGTTTCTGGGAGCTCTCTCTCAGAATACTAATCAAATGCGGAGTGACGAACACACTTATAATTGCTAATTTTGAAGAAATTCTTGGGCTGAACACACAATCTCGATTTATGAGAATCTACCACCACTACCCAGACAACCAGAAGTCGTATAACAATGTACAATTAATTGATAACTTCTTCAAGTTGAAATCAGCGACCTCTGGACGATCCAATTTCAGGATGGAACTGATATTCGATTACTTTGCTTAATGAGACAAACTGACTTGATGTTGTTTTCACATTTTTCATGATCAAAGTCCGTAGTTTAATCACGTAATATGTAAATAGATGCCAATTGATAGTGGATAACGTTATCTTAAAATTGACGAAAATCCATATGGGACTGATATGTGATTATAGGCAGTATACCTCTCTTAAACAAAAATGTTTACTACTCAAATAAAGTACTCAAAACATGAAGATACATTCTAGAAGACATCAAAATGCTACACTCAATAGTTTCGTCGCAAATAGTCAGGCCCAACTTTCTTTGATTTCGTCCCACTGTGGGACGTAGAGAAAATGAAACTCCTGCTGCAAACACTGAGCAACACGTCCTGTTGCGTAATTAGTTAGCAGTAGGGGTATGCGGTATTTTTTTCACCTTATTGTAAACGTGCGGTTCTGTAAGACCATATGAATTAAAATGTTTGCATAATTTGCTTCAAAATTTTCCGGAATCATAAATTTAGCGGACCAATTTTTGTCTAACGATACGAAACGACACGAAACGACACGAAACGAAATTTGCCATTTCCGGCAATAACGATCAGAACCAGCAAATATTTTATTCAACTGAGAGATCTGGCCCTCAATACCATTTTCTGCATATTCAACTTCCAGAATTCTGCTGTTCTGTACAATCCCGTCTTATACCACCTAGCAGTGTACCCGATAAAAGCCACAGTGGTGAAACAAAATTTATTCTTAAACGGCTTCTATGGATTCTGTCTTTAAACTTGAGGTCGTACACAATCAAGCTTAAACAATAGACAAAGGTGAATATCAACAAATTGTATGCGCCCAACCGTTCACTTTCCTCTATTGCACTAGGAAATCAAAACTTACTTTCCTTCAGAACACTTCTCAACGCAGCGTTTGCCTTCTTTAAAACCACGACAAACACGGCAACCGGTATCCTTTCGATTGACGCAGCCACCGAGACATTGTTCGTGACATTTGATGGTACCTGGGGAATATGTTTCTTTAATTGTTCATTACACCTTAATTCAAATAACAAATCCATGCATCCAATCGGTGCCGTGTGCGCAAGACCATCCATGCACTGTGCAGTGTGCTTCGTTCAGGTATTGCCTTTGCTACCTGTAAAATCGTAACCGGTGTGAAACCGTTGGCAAGCTACTCTGCTCCAGCAGTATGGCCTGGGACACCCGAGGCATAAATCCGTCCTGTTGTTGTTGCACTCCACCAACTTCTCCGGCTTGTCAAATCGGTTCAGATCGAGCGAACGGTTGGATCTGCGCGTGATGCTCGGCCAGTCTATCTGTAGGCGAATTTTGTATTTAAAATTCTACTATACACTATTTAACATTAATCGAACGAACTACTGACCGTATCGGTGTAGCACAGTCTAGGGCAGTGTTGTGCGTTAACGAACCCATCTTCGATGGCGAGTAGGTTCTTCAAGCCAATCTATTGAATATGAAATCGTGTAATGTAAGGTATACGGTCTGCAACTGATTGCAACAACCTTTCAACCCATACTAACCTCAGTCAGATGTGGCATATCGTAGAAAATCAGCGCGTAATTGAAGAACACCGTCCTGCCACGAATTACCATCAGATTCGGAAACAGTTCCCGTAGCGAGACGAGGTTGTACACGTGAAAGAACATCACGTATCCAGTCACTTCTCTACGGAGAGTAGAAAGCACATGAAACGGGAATCTTCAGAAAGTAATAGTTCTCCGTTTGATTGATTTGAGTTAATTGATATATTTTCGACCTTCTTTCGACCACTGATCGGTGCCTAACTTATAGTGTAAATGGAGCTTTTGTTCCTGTCATGATTTCTGTGTACACATAATACAATCTACATCTTATTCTTTGTTATACTACATAACCACGAAATTCAGTATGCAGGTAAAAAAAAAACGCGACGCGTAAATAATTTATATTAATAGATGCGTTCTTTTCGCTCGCCTAATCCAACAATCTAGATTCAGTATATCTTTTAAAATAAAAGAACAAACAATAAGTAGTCAATCTAACATTAGTAAATGGTACATATTGATAGGGTCAAGTATCACATTCATACTTAAGAATAATATGATCGATTGGAAAAGTATTTACTACAACAGAGACGCGTATAGAGAGAATATGTTGATGGAATTGGGGTTGTATCAGGTCCGCTTTGAATCTCGTACGCATTGCTTATCGGCTACAAAAAGAATGGAATTATTCTGTATTTGATAAAAGTCCCTCAGTAAAAATATCGCTTGCTATACTTGGAAAACTTGTTTTGCACTATTCTAGCGAAATCATGTCTATTGGTTTCCTTAACTGAACATTTCCACCCGATATACTCTTGATATGCACAGGCTGATTCTAACGTGACAGATTATTTACCTCAATTGAGTTAGATTATACTTCTGAAACTCCTGGTGCGAAACTCGTTCGATCAGAACTAGCTGCAAGTAGCCCGTAATCACGGTGCAATTTTCGATCCTGCGCAATCGGGCGAGATTGTTCCGTATGTCTACATTGTGACAGTTTGGTACATTATCGTCGGTGTATTCTTCAACGGCATTTTGTTGCTGAGCCTCGGCTAAGCCTTCTGCATCGCTGCGAGATCGTTTTGGAATTACTAGTGGCATCGTGAGAAAAATCACCACATACACATATAGATACAGGCTTGCCATAACGATTGCTTCTTCTCTCTTGTCATTAAACTAGTTACATTTGAACATGTTTTCGTTTAACACTCGATATAGGTTTTGATTATTCAATCACTTCTGCTATCCGATGCGTATCGCATCTTCCGAATAAATCTACTCCGAAAGATAACTAGATTACACTTTCTTCCTACGGTACTTTATACAAACACTTTATAGCAACTATACACACATTGGTTCCTACCTACTGCGGGTGGACGATTTTGTGAATCAATGATTGTCCAAACAACAAACGAGAAACAGTGCTCAATCGATCATCGCGACGACATGGTTACCGGAGAACTGTGCACAACGTCCAAGAAAGCAGATATAATATAGTTGGTGATGCTCTTTTTTCTGCTCCTGCTGCTGAACGTCTCATGTCTCGCCGTCTATACGGTCCGTACGCAAAGTGAGAATCGAGAAGCAATTATACACACGTTAAATTGCTTCACCCCTGGGCATCAGCTCTAATTCAATTAAACTTGTCGCCCTCCTGGACGAAGAGTCTACCGGACCGCACGGGACACAAGGTGCATGACTATGTGCACAGAACAGAAGGGGGAAGTGCAAACAAATCTAACGTCACTTTTCAAATAGACCAATCTACATCGATTCTCTTTATCGACTCTCTCTTTCGTCAATAACTCGGCTCCAAAAACATGTTCAGCTGTTCTTATCGTCCAATACGCTTAATAATGCGTTCGTTTAGCAGACTATTTAGTTATTAACACTCCGAACAAGATGCCTCCGGTAAAATGTGTAACAGCAATGTTTGAGAAATCATTGCTCGGCATTTATCTATAGGTTTAAATCTATTGATACCGAATAAATCTTTTAAGTAAGGGAAATGGCTCTAATGTTGGCCTATGGATCTAAGATTGGGCCCATCGCTAAAAATCTGCTATTTATCAATTTTATCTAGTTGAACGCGTCATTTGGACGGTATTAATGGATATTTTTGGTCGCTATCGAAAATTTAGTATGTCGAATTTATGTATGGGCCCAAATTAGGGGTATTTAGGCCGACATTACATCCATTTCTCCTATATAGTTTCAAATGGTGCCAATATATTTGAAATTCATCACTAAATGGTTGAACTATGATTTTTAAAACATTGAGAGTTTTCCGTTACACATTTTACCGGAGGTATCGTGTTCGGAGCGTTAACGAAAGAGAGAGTCGATGAAGAGAATCGATCAATGCAGATTGGTCTATTTGAAAAGTGAATCGAAAATTGGACCGTTTTGGTGCTCACTAAACGATGCGTTGGGGCCAGGGGTTGAAACTGTTGACGTTTTTTACTACACTCGCTTTGTTGTCCTGCGCGACAGTCTGTTTGTTTTCGTACCCTCATGCTCTACCGTCGTCTCTCTTACACAACGCAAACGGTAGAACAACATTCGAGCAAAAAGAAATTTTTTATTTATCAAATAAATTTTATAAAATTTAGAATTATCAAATAACTATCATATGACATGTGTGATTTCGTTCTAATTCCTCAATTTGGTGTAAATTATGCAGGTTCTGATCAGAAATGCTATTACTATGACATCGTTGCTTGCTATTTTCAGAATTCACACAAGCACAGCATCAGCAGCTCTTATTATGGGAAAAACTAAAATATTTACATTCGTGACGGTCTTCGCCGACAATGTCGTATGACAGAGCCTTTTATATGACATTTTAGTTTGGTACTATAATTTGATAGCTTGTTTTGCAAGTGTCGGAAGCAAAGGCAGTCGATTATCACAGAAAATGTGTCGCCTACGGTGACCGCTTACAAGACTGGTTGGGGCTTTCTATGCGCACTCACACACTGCAGGCAGAAGATGCCTTCTACCGCTAGGTGCGCTAGTGTTCGCCAATGGAAAGTGGAGCCACTTTCTGATCCAAAGTTCCACTTCTGTTCTGTGCTATGTGCGTTGGTTGGCGTTTGTCCACTCGAAATTGATGTACGGATTTATGAAGAATATGCTTTTCCATCTATCAAACTGTAGTTCATTTTTATGGACTAAAAATAAAACAAGTACGCCAGACGTTCACTAACTGAAATGCATTTTATGTTTCAAATCGGCTGTCAACTGCACTTAAAATGCATCAATGTTCATTCTCGTGTTCATTTGGCATTCATGGCAATTTGAAATGCTTAAATTTGACCGATAAATGGCCTTTAACTGAAACTTCTTTCCGTTAGCGGACTTTCAGTCAAAAGATGTTTCAATCAGTGGTGTTTCGTAACCTAACTTTTTACCTGTTCAACGACTTTGAAAACGTAATTTAGAGCTATAACTACAGTCTCCCCCAGAAGAGCGCGAGTAATACGTAATGGAGTACACGTAGCATATATGATTTGACCTAATAGGGACCAACATGGAATATCTCGCGAGCCTGGACATACAGAAGGTTACTGTCTTCGGCAAAGTTGTTCAGTGGATCAAGATCTTATCGTTGGTGAACAGAAGTTTGGAATTTTCGCACTACGCGGTGCTAGTTTGCATGAATTAGTGATTTCCTTGTATTTGTGATATCTTGAAATCCTTGCCATCTAGGATGTTGCTTTTTTCGGCGAAATTGTTCAGTGGATCAAGACGTTATCGTAGGTGGACAGAAGTTTGGAATTTTCTCACTAAGCGGCGCTAGTGTGCATGAATTAATGATGCCCTTGTGTTTGTGATATCTTGAAATCCTTGCCATCTAGGATGTTGCTTTCTTCGGGGAAGTTGTTCAGTGGATCAAAACCAGTGATGTGCTTGAACGCGTTCATACTTTGTTCAGCATCTATAAACCGAACCGAAAGATGGCAGTTGCACACCCTCCGTCCGGTTCTTATGTTACGAACGTAGCCGAACTATGCGTTGAACGAGTGCAAACGGACCGAGCGAATGAGAGAAACGAACGCTTCGTGTCTACGTAGAAAACGCTTCGTGTACGTTTTTTCGTAGCCAAAACTAACGAACATGCAAGTTTTCGAACGTGGTAGATTTTAGCTGTTTTCGCAATCATTTTCATCACCAGAGTAGACTTCAGTGCTATGATCATTTCTAGACCAATTCAAATAGGCGGAACAACCAAACGTAAACAAGGGATTTCAACACAAATTGCACGCGAATCAGAACTCAGAACACACCCACGCAAACTAATAATGACATACAATAAAAGAAGTTTGTTCTATTAGATGCTGGTGTTAGATTGTTAGATTGCATAAATGAGTTTTGATTCTCGAGAAATTTGCGTTTGAAGTCATCGTTTACATTTGGTTGTTCCGCTTATTTCAAATGTTGATCTAGATTTGTTGTGTCATCTTCCATTTATAACATTGCCTGTGCCTTCTTCATGAAGCTGGGTTTAGACTAGGCAAGTCAAATGATCAACTCAGTTGAATTCAATTGGCTTGAAAAGTTGAGCCTAGCTCAACTTTTTTCATTTCAAGTGAGTTGAATGGCATGGTTTACACGTTCAATTCGCGTTTAAGTCAGTTGAATTCAACTGACTTGCCCTGTCTAAACCCAGCTTGAGGGATACTGCCTTCACGTAATTCACTCCGGTATCTGTGGTGACTGAGTACAGTTCCTCGATTTCTAAATCGTGACAAAAGTTTGAATACTGTGTGGATGTTTTCCGCGGTTTGAGCTACCTTCATATCAATTAAACCGAAGGCCTCACAATCTTTTTTCTTTTTTCCAGGCAGTGATGGAAAAGTTCATCAAAGTTCCCTATGACTCGCGAACTTTTCCCTTGGTGAACTTCGTGAAATATCGCGAACTTTTCCAACACTGTTTCCAGGTACTTTTGTAGTGCGAACTTCCAGGTAGATGTGAACTTTTCTTAAAAATCCTTCGTCATTTGGTATCGGAGCCTTTTAACTACCTCTCCAATTATTCCCCAAATATTTGTTTGAGTATCGGGATTTACCTTGAGAGCTCTTTCGATTTTTGTCATAATGTCGGAAGTCCCTGGTTTTTCGAATATTGACAATTAAACTTCACCTTCTGTTACCATTTTGATGCCGGAGGTCATGTAGAAGTTGTAGTCCATGTGCATACCAACTCTCGGCATATTTTTTTACCCAGGCATGAACCCACCGCTTCATCATCGAGGTCAAATTCTGCTTACTTTTTCGGATGCAGATCTTTGAGATGTCATTTAAGATTGCTTTTTTAAGTCGTTTTCAACATCCTGCTGCCTAATTTATATATAGCTGGTGGCGTTTCTAAGCTTTCGAACTGGTTTAAAATCTATCACTGTTCGTAAGTTTTGACAACGAAAAAACCTACACGAAGCGTTTTCTACGTAGACACGAAGCGTTTGTTTCTCCCATTCGCTCGTTCCTTTTGCACTCGTTCAACGCATAGTTCGGCTACGTTCGTAACACGATAACCGGACAAAGGGTGTGCAACTGTATTCTTTCGTTCGGTTTATAGATGCTGAACGAATAGACAGTGCATCACAACCGAACGCAGGGTGCACGTTCGTTGCTCGCTTTCGTTCCGGGTGACATCACTGATCAAAACCTACGTTGTTCAGCAGTAGCTAGGTCGCACTTGGTCAGTGAATCATCGGTGAGGATCATTATTTCTCGAACGAGAAGGGCCGGACTAAGGCTTTCGAATTGCTGACGGAATATGAAAGCCTTTGTTTTGGGATGGAAGGAAGAAAGTGTGATGTAATCATTTGTATTTTTTATATATACATATACATCACATGTAAAAAGTACACTATCAGAAACCGAAGTAAACATTGATTGATAAAAAACCAAATTCTCATTATTTTTTTTTTCCTAAACGGGAAATTCAACATAACACTCCACATGCTAAAAGTAACAAATTTCCACCAAAAGGATTCTGTGTTTCGTTTTATTTCCTGATTATTTTTTACAACAATACCAAATATGATTGTTATTTAAATTTCAACCATCTACACGCAAACTAAAAATAGCAGCTGGATGAAAATTACAAAGGAATGATAGAAGTGATATTGCTGAATGACGAAGTCG